CTGCCACTGGCTCCTACCAAAACAGGCACCTTTAGAGCCATAGATTGCCCGCCCCACCCCCTACCAGCAGACTAACCCAGAGGCTTCAAAACGGACCATGAAGGATTTGGAGAAAAAGAGGGGCCGGCCAGGTGGAGAGTGTCAGGGCATCTTTGCCAGAGAAATTCCCAGGAGGCTGGGCCGGGACAGCCAGGCTGTCGTTGCCGACGCCCGGTTCCCTCCGCAGGTGCGTCACCTGACACGTCCAGGAAGCCGTGGTGCACCTGCTCGCCGGGCCCAGCCTTGCCCCTGTTTACCCAGGACCCTGATTTGCCTGGTGACTCAAAGGGACAAGGAATAAGCAGCCTGCCTGTCCCGGGCTTCTCCCAAGCTGATTGTCACCGAGAACTGGCGGCCTCGCTCCTGCTCTGGGCTGCAGCTTCTTGCCTCTCAGCTGCAGGAAGCCAGTTCTGGAGGTGCCCGCTCGCCCTCAGCCCCTTCTGAGGGGCCCTGTCCAGTGTTTTACGGCACACGATGCCTCGCCTCTTCCCCAGCTGAGAACTGCGCCAAGAGTGGGCATCTGGCTTGAGGGAGAGAGGGTCCCGAGGCTGGCCAGTGGCCTGCCACAGCGGCCATGCATGGAGATGGGGGCCTGGCCAGCCACACTCTGTCTTGGGAAGCTGAGTGCCTGAGGATGTCATGAGGCAGAGCTGGAGCCAAAGTCAGGGCAAGCTCAGGTCACGGGCAAGAAGAGACCGAGCAGGTAGGGGGCGCTGTCCGAGGACCCAGAGCAAGTGAATGTGGGAGAACAGATGCCATGGAGAAGGCGAGATCAAGTGACCGGACAGTAAGGATCTATTTTACAGGGCAGCAAGTGCAGGAAAAGACAATGGCAGATAACAGTTCTTAAAAATTCAAAATTGAGGGGCCAGCGCCATGGTGTAGCGTGTAAAAGCCACTTCCTGCAGTGCCGCCATCCCATATGGGTGCTGGTTCAAGTCCCAGCTGCTCCACTTCTGATCCAGCTCTCTGCTATGGCCTAGGAAAGCAGAAAAAGACGGCTCAAGTCCTTGGGCCCTTACACCCCCATGGGAGACCCGGAAAAAGCTCCTGGCTCCTGGCTTCCGATTGGCGCAGCTCCGGCCATTGCGGCCATCTGGGGAGTGAACCAGCGGATGGGAGACCTCTCTCTTTCTGCCTCTGCCTCTCTGTAACTCTGCCTTTCAAATAAATAAATATTTTTTTAAAAAAATTCAAAATTAAATAGCTATGTTGAGTCCAATGAAGACATATTTTTCATCTTAAAACGTGTACTCCTTAGTTGGATAATGACGTTGATGGAGAAACTCACGGCTGCTACTTCATGCCTGGAATATTAACCTCTGGGCATACAGAGAAGTGCTGGCTTAGGCTCCACTTCCAGCCATGCTGAGTTTTTACCCAGGACCCCGTTACAAAACCTGTAACTTAGGAGGGTGGCTGTCCTAGAGCAAACCTGGCCTTGTGAATACTGTCTGTTCAACTTGAACTATCTCATGTGGGCCCATCAGCAGCCACACCTGGACATCCGTGAGCAGCTTTCTTAGGCCTTGAATGCCTTATAGCTGTATACTGAGTCATCAGCTTTACCAGCTTACCCTGGAGGAATAATTGCAGTGTTGTTTTTAAAGGCAAGTTATTGAAAGCAATCTAAATGTCCAACAGCTAGGGGCTAGGTGAATACACTGTAGAACAGCCCATGCAAGAATGTTCTAGACACATGGGAGCCGGCATGAGAGGACCTTCACATTATAGTGTTACACTAAAGTAGCAAAGTAAAATGTTATGAACATGTTGAAGTACTCCAGACATATGGTTAAGTGGGAAGAAAAAGCAGGTTATAAAACTATAATCATGGGGCCTGCGCTGTGGCGCAAGGGTTAACCCTGGCCTGAAGCGCCGGCATCCCTATTGCGCGCTGGTTAGAGTCCCGGCTGCTCTACTTCTGATCTGGCTCTCTGCTGTGGCCTGGGAAAGCAGTAGAAGATGGCTCAAGTCCTTGGGCCCCTGCACCCGTGTGGGAGACCTGGAAGAAGCTCCTGGCTCCTGGCTTTGGATCGGCACAGCTCCGGCCATTGCAGCCAATTGGGGAGTGAACCAGAGGATGGAAGACCTCCCCCTCCCCTCCCCCTCCCCCTCCTCCTCCTCTCTTTCCCTCCTCCTCCCACTTCCCTCCCCCTACCCCTCCCTCCTCCTCTCTCTGTGTAACTCTGACTTTCAAACAAATAAATAAATCTTTTTTTAAAAAAAAAACTATAATCATACAGTCCCATTTTCTTTTGTTAAAGAAATACATATGGTTGTCCCTCCTTATCCATTAGGGTCTGGTTCCAGGATCCCTGTAGATACCAAAATATACGTATGCTCAGGCCTCTTACATAAAATAGTGTAGTACTCGTGCACAACCTATGCATGTTCTAATTTAAATCATCCCTAAATGACTTATAATGCTTAATACCATAAAAATGTTATACCATATATTTAGGAATAATGACAAGCAAGAAAAGCTTTTTTTTTTTTCAAATATGTTCTATCTTCAGTTGGTTGAAACTGCAGAGATCAAACCTAGGGACATGGAGGGGAACTGTGTACATGAACCTGTGTGGCCAAGTTCTAGATAAATGCACCTTAACCCGTGATCAGGGGTGAGCTATGGGCGGGGGGATTCTGGGTGATTTTATTACTCATCTCTATCGTGGCTTTTAAGCCTGTGGTATGTTTTTGAATAGGAAGTACACTTATATGGTTCAGAAGTCATGCCAGTATTCACACGTGTGAACATGTGTTAACATGTGTACCTTGAGAAGTCACCCTGATGCCTCCCCCACCTCTGTCAAGTCAGTGCTTTTAGTTTCTTATTATTTTCTCGGGATTTCATCATTAGAAACAAATACAGCATACTTCAGAAAGTTCATGGAAATTAGAATTCAGAGAATTCAAAATTGAATATAATATGTGTTTTCTATTAACTTTTTGAAGATCAAAATCGTATGAATATATATTCTCATTTCTCCCTTTTTTAATGCAAAGTGTCGCCCCCTACATATTGCTGCACACCTGCTTTCTTTACTCTTGGGTTTTTTGGTTTTTTTTTTTAAGATTTAATTATTTTACTTGAAAGTCAGAGTTACACAGAGAGAGGAGAGGCGGGGGGGGTGGGGGGGGTCTTCCATCCACTGGTTCACTCTCCAATTGGCCACGATGGCTGGAGCTGCACCGATCCAAAGCCAGGAACAAGGAGCTTCTTCCAGGTCTCCCACATGAGTGCAAGGGCCCAAGGACTTGGGCCATCTTCTACTGCTTTCCCAGGCCATAGCAGAGAGCTGGATCAGAAGTGGAGCAGCCGGGTCTGGAACCAACACCCATATGGGATGTTGGCACTGCTGGCGGGAGCTTTACCAACTACACCACAGCACTGGCCCCAGGTGTTTGTTTCAAATGAAGGTGGGTATCCGGGCGGCTGGTTCAGTGCTCACAGGTCCCCTTCTCTGCCCACAGATCCTCCTGCGCCACGCAGCCGCTCTGTGAAGAGGGTCTCCATGGAGCTGGGCGGCCTTGCTCCCTTCATTGTGTTTGACAGCGCCAACGTGGAGCAGGCTGTAGCAGGGGCCATGGCATCGAAATTTAGGAACGCTGGCCAGGTGAGTCCTGTGGGGTTTTTGCAGGGCTTGGCTATATGTGCACACATATTTCATAAAGCGCTGGCTTTTATCTCCATGCCTTACTTATCTCTTGGAGGGAAACTTGTGGGTCCCCATCCATTGTCCATTCTTTATTTGTTCACTCTTTCAGCAAATATTCAGCAATTGCCTGAATATTTGCTAGTGGCTACACTAGGCTTGGAGAGTCCCAATACAGGGAAAATATCTAATCTGTGGCTTCGAAGAATTTCCACAACAGCAGAAGTTTTTCATCACATTGTTCCCTCTTATTTCCCCTACACTTCGGATTGGGCTATGGTCACCCTTTGGTTTCCATAGGAGATTGGGTCTAGAATACCCTCAGATACCAAAATCTTGGGGCGCTCCAGTTCCTCCTAGGAGGCTGGCACAGTGCTTGGATTGGCGTATAACCTGTGCACATCCTCCTGCGTGTAGTAAATCACATCTGGATTACTAAGCACACCTAACACCACGGAAACTACGTAGGCCATGCTTATCCACATTGACAAATGTCTGTAATGTTCAGAACAGATGAGTTTGAAAGGAACAATTTCTGACCAGTGGTTGGTTGAATCCAGAGATGCAGAGCCCACGGGTACAGAGGGAAGACTGTATTTTCATAATTTCCCCTCGTTAGGCTTTTCTCCTCAGATACAAAGCAGCCCTGAACAGCCAGGGTGTGAGGTCCGCAGACTTAAGGACAAGAAGGTGGGAAAGTGTTGAGGGTGGTGCCTAGAAACATTCGAAACCTGGCTGCCTTTGAGACATACCCCAGGCCAGTAGAGTGCTGGGCGAGGGCTGAGCTGGCAGCAGCGGGCACACCACGCATGTCCAAGCTGTCCCAAGGGAGAGGAGCTGAGCTCACATCTACAGAGCAAACCATGGAGTAGCCAGTCTGGTATGGACCTTCCAAGTCACCACAGCGTCCCTCGCATCTTGCAAATGAGCAGCAACTTGCAAAAGACTAAGAGACTAGTGGTTGGTCACCATGCACGGTCCCAACTCTGCCAGAGTACTGGCGCTGTAAGCCCAGAGTCCTGTCTCCCAGTTCCTATCCAAGCTCCTAAGATCCTGATGACTTAAGAAGTATTTTTAAACCCTTTGCCTTAAAAGTATCAACAACAAACGATTTTAAATGCTTTCCAGAAATGGAATAAATACTCCTGAAAGGTTATGTTGTGGGGGAAAATGAAATGTTGTATAAGACATTAATAGTTTTCTTCTTTATTTTGGCCTTTAGTAATTAATTCTTTCCTTTTCGTATAATTTCAGTAAACTTGGTTTTTCAGGCATAGGTATGTTTCCTCATAAGTGGAGCAGCTGGGTCTCAAACTGGCGCCCATATGGGATGCTGGTGCTTCAGGTCAGGGCGTTAACCCGCTGCACCACAGGGCCGGCCCCAGGTATAGTTCCTTTTACAAAAATGCCAAGATCTGTAACCTTCTGTGGCATGCTGTAAAGCCACAGCCTTGGGATGTGTTGCTTTAAGCCAAGGAAAGGGGACCGGCACTGTGGCGTCATGGATGAAGCTGCTGCATGAGACACTGGCATCCCATGTCGGAGAGCAGGTGTGCGTCCCAGCTGCTCCACTTCTTCTTCTTGTGCTGGGAAGGGGGTGGAAAACGAGCCAAGCACTTGACCCCTGCCACACTAGTGGGAGACCCTAAGGGACTTCGGGCTCCTGCCTCTGGGCTGGCCCAGCCCCAGCTATTGCAGTCATTTGGGGAGTGAACCAGTGGATGGAAGACCTCTCTCTGTCATTCTGCCTTTCAAATAAATAAATAAATCTTTAAGGAAGGGAGGGAGGGAGGAAGGAAATAAATGCACAGGGCACAAAAGTGTGCAGACGTGCTGCAACCAGGAAAGATTAAGAAAAAGACAAGCAGCAAACCCATCAGTGGCTCCCCGCGGGTTCCATTTCACGCTTGATCTTAGCCAAAGGCCAAGAAGCTATAAAGTGGTTATTTAAAATTTCTTCATACATGGTCTAATTAGAAATAATTAGAAGAAAAAGCAAGGGCCTTTTTGGTAATTTAGGCTGCACGGCGGAAGGGTCCTGTCCATTACTGAAATGTCAGATTCTCACAACACCTGGAAGGTTTCAGGTAAATGTAAGGTAGAGTTTGCACACACACACACACACCACACACACACACCCGCCTCTGCTCTAAAAGGTCCTTGCAGAGTTGCAGGCTATTTTTTCTTCCTGTTTGTATTGTAATGAAAGCCACCTGTAGGAACTTGGGTGTGTTTTTGTTTGCTCTGCACACACATACTTGCTAACTTGTTAAACCACAAATGGACAACAGCTGTAGAGGGAGTGGAGAGGAACACCTCTCCCCCGGGTGTCTCCCTCTGGGCCAGCTTGGCCGCCTGACAAGCCGCCCGGGGAAGCATCTTTGCAGAGACGTGGGGCTGCCTCCTGTCTCTTGGATGGGTCAACGGCTCCCGAGAAACTGACTCTCTGGGTTTGTTTTCCTCCTGTCCAGACTTGCGTTTGCTCAAACCGATTCCTGGTGCAGAGGGGGATTCATGATTCCTTTGTGAGCAAATTTGCTGAAGCAATGAAGACAACTCTGCGTGTAGGGCATGGATTTGAGGAGGGAACCACGCAAGGCCCGCTAATTAATGAAAAAGCAGTAGAAAAGGTAGTTCATTGGGTTGTGTTAATTTCAGTGCCTCGATATCCAAACTTACTTAAGCAGCAACACTTTGGTATGGCCCCAGTAAGGCTGTTTGGAAAAATAGAGAAACCTTGGGCGGGGTGAGGGGCCGAGTTTCTATGAATCTGTGAATCGAGTGGCCCTGTCTGGTCATCGACTCCTCCAGCCCGAGTGCCCTTCCCTGCTTGCCTGGCCCTTCTTGGACTTGCAGCTGCGCCAGTCATAACTCTTCCTGGATGACAAAATGCCCTTCTGGAAGAATCCTTGATGGAAGTAACCCAGCAGGCGAGGATGTGGAGAAAGGGGACACGTATACACTGTTGTGGGAATATGAATTAGTGCAGCCACTGTGGAAAACAGTGTGGAAATTTCCTTAAAAAAAAAAAAAAGAAATAGACTTGCCCTATGATCCAGCAATCCCAGTACTGGGTATACACCCAAAAATTGTTGTATCAAGAGACAGCTGTTCCACTATATTTATAGCACTGTTCACAATAGCCAAAATATGACTCAACAGAAGTGCCCATCATCAGATAAATATAAATAAATTATACACACTGTGAACAAATGGATAAGCAGATAAATATCACACACAATGGAATATTATTCACTATAAAAATGACATTCTATCACTGCAGCAAAATGGTTGAGACTGGAGGATATTATATCATGAATAAGCCAGACACAGAAAGACAAATACCGCATGTGGTCCCTTATTTGCGGGAGCTAAAATCAAAGGGCTCCTCCGCTGGGGAAGGGTCTCTGTTGAATAAAGAGTTATCTCTAGGCTGCTACTAGGGGAGATGTGTCTCTCTGTTGTTCTGCTTTTGAAATAAATTTTTAAAGTTCTTACAAAGAACTTTAAAGATAATAATACGAAACATCCTGTAATTCCCTAGGTAAGTTTCTACAAATAGAAAGGAGTTTAACAGACTGTTTTGAATGGGGCAGACCCTGGAAGCTGGAAAATGTGTGTGGGAAAGAGGGAAGGAGACGCAGCCAGCCGCTGGGTGAACCTGAGGAACTAAAATCAACCAAGAGCTGCGTGAGTGCTTAGGTGGGAAGCAGCCTGGCCGACCTCCGCGCTCAGGGGCCGTGGGCAGGCAGGTCAGCTTTCTGCGGGGAAGCGGCCAGGTCTGGCATTACCTCCGACTCCTCTGGGTAGAGAAAATGCATCAAGGTTCATGTTGGCACCATTCGCATTTTATAAATGACTTTGATCGTGTTTAGTGAGAGGGACTAGGGTTCAAGTCCCAGGGGGTGGTACTCAGCCTCCACATGCCCGTGATGGACACAGATGCTGGGGCCACCTCTGAGGAGATGGGTGTTCATTTGTCTGTGGTAGGTCCCGGGCTTTGGAGTTTTTTAAGATGCCCCGGTGATGGTGCTTTGCTGCCCCCTAGCGGGGAAACCCAAAGTGAAATGCAAACATTCCCCTCTAGATGGCAGTGTATGCTGGACTGTCAAGCACACATACTTGCAGGTTTTCTATTGTAGTGGAGAGAAGTTAGGTAAACATCTTGTTTCTCAACAATCTGTTGAGGTTCTCACTGCCATGGAGTGGATCCCAGAAACATCACTGCACTTCCTATGTAATATGACAAGAGGAGGGCTGACCAGATCTCTTTGGGGACAGGAGGTGAGCCCTATAAGTTAAATAGTATTTTAAAAGCATAAATCAGGACCATGTTTTGGCACAGCAGGTTAAGCCCCCTCTTGCAACACCAGCATCCATATCAAAGTGCTGGTTCGAGTCCCCGCTGCTCCATTTCTGATCCAGCTGTCTGCTAGTGCGCCTGGGAAAGCAGTGGATGATGGCCCCAGCACTCGGGCGTGTGCCATGCACATGGGAGACCCAGATGGAATTCCAGGCTTTTGGTTTTAGTCAGGCCCATCCCATCCCTGGCAGCTGTGGCAATTTGGGTAATGAATCAGTGAATGCCAGACCTCTTTCTTTCTCTCTCTCCCTCTCTAAGTCTGCCTATCAAATAAAGCTTAAAAGATTAGATACATATATATGTGTATATATCTGCATATGCACCCAGCTAGTGGGGATTTGTTGCAGATGTGGGGTGCATGGACCCATAAAGGGCAAGTCCAGACAACAGAATGTGGCCAAGCCTCTCTCCTGGAAGCCTCTAGAAAACTGAGCTGAAGCAGGAGGGAGGAGGACCGCCCTGCTCCATGGATGGCGATGGGCTTCTGAGAGGCAGAAGAGTGGGAGACGTGGGCGTGCCCAGGGAGCCTGTGCGGTGTCCTGATGGGGCCTTTCTAGAACTGGCTGGTGTGCGGGGGGGGGGGGGGGGGGGGGAGACACACAGCTGGCTGGTTGTGCTTCTGCACGGTTTCTGGCTCTTCCCACAGCACCTCCCCACCACCACCGTACACACAGGACAGCAGAGGTGGTTGTTCTGAGCAAATACAGCAGCCCACCCACAAGGGCACCCGCTGCAAGCGCAGGGGTCTCCTGGCCATGCCTTTGGGGAAAGGGTTGCTGATAACCTCATTCAGTGGACAGACGAAAATGGCAGAGGCCACCCCACGCCCACCTAAATGTATCACCTGGTCCTTCCATCAGAAAGAGGCTCAGCCATGTGCACAGGAGAGGAGGGGCAGGAGCAGCAGTCACAGCCGACCCTGACCCCGAGGGCAGCAGGTGAATCGGGGAGCAGAGAGGGATTGCCCAAGAACCTCCACGTGCTGAGGATGGGGCAGTGCAAGCAGGACTACGTCTGCAGGAGTTAAATACTCGGCAGGTGCAAGAAATTCAGATGGGGGTGAAATTGAGGCGGTCTCCTGACGTTTGAAGCAAAATACAGATAAAACGTAGAGAAATGCAAAAGAATGAGAATTAAGCTGAGGTGATGGGGGCCACCTCCTCAGGAGTAGGAGCTGCAGAAGGAAAGAAGATGAAGGGAAATGAGATCAAATAAACAACAGGTGGGAATGTCGTGAGCTGGGGGAAGGGCCGGCGCTGTGGCACAGCAGGTTAACACCCTGGCCTGAAGCACCGGCATCCCATATGGGTGTCCCGGCTGCTCTTCTTCCAATCCAGCTCTCTGCTGTGGCCTGGGAGGGCAGTGGAAGATGGCTTAAGTCCTTGGACCCCTGCACCCACATGGGAGACCCGGAAGAAGCTCCTGACTCCTGGCTTCAGATCAGTGCAGCTCCGGCCATTGCAGCCATCTGGGGAGTGAACCATTGGAAGGAAGACCTCTCTCTCTGCCTCTCCTCTCTCTGTGTAACTCTGACTTTCAAATAAATAAATCTTTAAAGAAAAAAAAAAACTCAGGCATGGAAAGCCAAGACACTCTGGCAAAAGATCTCTGTGAGTGAGATCTCAGTGGAAAGAACAGGTCTTCAAAGAAGGAGGTACCTTTCTCTGAAGGGAGGAGAGAACCTCCACTTTGACTATGACCTTGTCTAAACAAGATAAGAGTCGGAGAACTCAGAGGGCTTCCATAGCCTTGGAAACTCATGACTGGAGCATAGGGAGATTACTGATGCCATAGACAGAGTGTCAATTGGTAAATCAACAACAGGATCACTGTGCACTTACTCCTCATGTAGGATCTCTGTCCTTAATGTGCTGTGCATTGAGATTTAATGCTAAACGAGTACTCAACAATATTTCACTTTGTGTTTCTATGGGGGTGCAAACTGTTGAAATCTTTACTTAATGCATACTAAACTGATCCTCTGTAAAAAAAAAAAAAAAGAAAGAAAGAAAGAAAAGAAAAGAACTATCAACTCCCAACTTGACTCTCACTGGGATTAAACATGACAATAGGTCTGATCTGATTTCATCATCATTAAAAAAAATCATCTATTATTTTTCACTTTATGTTTCTGTGTGGAGCAAACTGTTGAAATCCTTACTTAATGTATACTAAGCTGATCTTCGGTATATTAAGATAATCGAAATGAATCTTGATGTGAATGGAGGGGAAGGGAGTGGGAAAGGGGAGGTTGTGGGTGGGAGGGACGGTATGGGGGGGAAGCCATAGTAATCCATTATTCGTACTTTGGAAACGTATATTCATTAAATAAAAGTTAAAAAAAAAAAGAAAAAAAAAACTATGGGGAAGAGAGTTGTACAGCTTGAAAGACTTTAAAAATTACCAAGTACAAAAGATGAAAAAAAAAAACCACTTTGCTAAAATTTCAGTACATCAGAACATGAAAGAAGGCCTTGGAAGATTCCAGAAGAGGACAGAGCTATCCCACAAGGAGTGAGATCCATTTTTCCCTCAGACTTTTCCTCTACGGAAGTGGAGAAGCACTCAGAGTTCTTAGGGAAAACTATTTTATACCAGCATTCTGTAATCAGTGATATTATCAGCCAGGTAGAGAACAAGACAAGACATCAATACACGGTGCAAGAAAACTCAGAGATAAAGCCATTTCCACACAGCAGTTTCAAAGCAACATCATGTACTGAGTAACAGTTCCAATAGTGGCAGATTGCATGTACCACGGTGGTCCCGTTAGAAAAAGTGGAGCTCCTGTTCTTGATCTTTCTCTTTTTTTTTTTTTTTTTTTTTGACAGGCAGAGTGGACAGTGAGAGAGAGAGACAGAGAGAAAGGTCTTCCTTTGCCGTTGGTTCACCCTCCAATGGCCACCACGACTGGCGCACCGCGCTGATCTGAATGCCCTGACCGGGACTAGAACCCGGTGTGCCGGTGCCACAAGGCGGCAGATTAGCCTAGTGAGCCGCAGCGCCGGTGCTCTCTCTTGATCTCTTAGACCCTCTTTTTCCTTCTCTGCCCCTTCCCTCTGGTCTGTCAGGTTTCCCCCAATAAACCCTTTACCTTAAAAAAAAAAAAAAAAAAAAAAGAAGAAGAAGAAGAACAAAGAAAAAATGGAGCTGAAAACCTATCGCCTACCCAAACGTAGCCACCATAATGCAGTGTGTGAATGTGATGTAACCATACCTACCGTGCTGCCAGACACATAAAAGTATAGCACGTACAATTATGTACAGTGTGTAGTCCTTGATAACAATGGCAAATGACTGGTTATGGTGTACTCTGTTTTATTGATTGATTTGAGAGCTGTCTCCCATCCACTGGTTTGCTCTCCAACAGCAAGGCTGAAGCCAGGAGTGCAGAACTCAGTGTGCATCTCCCATGGGGGTGGCAGGATCGCAAGTCTCCGAACCGTCACCTGCTGCCTTCTGGAATGTGCATTCGCAGTGAGCTGGGATCGGGAGTGGAGCCGGGACTCAAGCCAAGATACTGCTATTTGGGATGTGAATGTCCCAAGTTGCATCTTCTTTATTTTTTTTTTAAGATTTTATTTATTTATTTGACAGGTAGAGTTACAGACAGTGAGAGGGAGAAACAGAGAGAAAGGTCTTCCTTCCGTTGGTTCACTCCCCAGTTGGCCGCAACGTCCAGAGCTGCACTGATCCAAAGCCAGGAGCCTGGAGCTTCTTCCTGGTCTCCCACACGGGTGCAGGGGCCCAAGGACTTGGGTCATCTTCTACTGCTTTCCCAGGCCATAGCAGAGAGCTGGACTGGAAGAAGAGCAGCCAGGCCTAGAACCGGCACCCATATGGGATGCTGGTGCCTCAGGCAGAGGATTAATCTACTGTGCCATGGCACTGGCCCCCAAGTTGCATCTTAATTGCTATACCTAATGCCAGCCCCAAATTTTGTCATAATGCGAGAGTGGATGCCTGCTTGTGAAATAGTATGCCGTGTTATTGCGCCAGCAGCAGCCTCGTGTGAATCATGTTCACTGCATCTCTGGCCTGCATCCTTTTCTCTTGTGCTGCATTGATGTTGTGGTGTTGTGTTGATGAAGGCCCCAGGAGCGGTAGGCTACACCACGCACACACACATACACACTGCAGCTGTGTCCTAGGCAATCCCATCTAGGTTTGTATAAGTACATGCTAGGATAGTCACACAAGAACAGTGCCTTTCCTGGAATACTTCAGTAAGTGATGCATAACTATACTTGAGACTATATCAGAACAGTGTAGGACGACAAACCGGGACTAAGCCCAGAGCGCTATGAGAGCACATCCCAGGAAAACAAGGGAGCAACACACCCAGGAAGGGGTCAACAGTGTGAGACCATTCGACACAAACTAAGGTCAGACACAGGAGGGTCAGAGGGCAGGGATGAAGCCCTCACTGTCCGTGCACCTGCTGCCTTCTCATCACCTCTGTATAGCTCTGCCCGCGTGGTTCTCTCTCTCTGGAAGGAACCAGGGCATCTTGTCTTTAACCTACTTAAAAAGAAAACCACACATAGTTTCCTGCAGACAGACATCCTCAACTGACCTCCCAAGAATTCTTTTTCCTCGTCATGCAGTGGAGAAACAGGTGAATGATGCCGTTTCTAAGGGGGCCAACCATTGTGACAGGCGGGAAGCGGCACCACCTTGGGAGCAACTTCTACTTTTCGAGCCCACCCTGCTCAGCAGTGTCACCCAGGACATCTCTGCTCCCGGGAAGAGACTTTCGGGCCCCTGGCGCCAGTTATCAAGTAAGATCACTCAGCCAGTGAGGAGCCGGGCCGAAAACACAGTAAAGAAAAAGGCAACCTGGCCAGGAAGTCTCGTGCGGTTTTGAGGGGGTGGGTGGGGAAGAGGTGGGCAGGTCAGAGAGGCAGAGTCGTGCTGAGTTAAACAGAAAAGCAGAGTTCAATTTATGGTATTTTTTTAATTAATGTAGATTTTTAAAAATCACTTATTTAGATCACAGTGGACAGAGAGGGAGGTCTTCCATCCACCAGGTCACTCCCCAAATGGCCACAGTGGTCAGGGCTGGGCCGATCCAAAGCCAGGAGCCAAGAGCTTCTTCCTGGTCTCCCACGTGGGTACAGGGGCCTAAGCACTTGGGCCATCTTTCACTGCTTTCCTAGAAAATGGCAGAGAGCTGGATCCTGAGTGGAGCAGCCGGGACTCAAACCAGCGCCCCTATGGGATGCGGGCACTGCAGGTGGCAGCTTTACCTGCTATGCCACAGCGAAGGCCCCTGTTTTGTGCATCTTTGATCTCTCTGGTTGGTTTCTCCTGCTTTGCAGTTCTCCTTTCTTTTGTTGTGCATATTTGTCCCTTCCTTCTATTTTTATTCTGTTGTACTGCAAAGGTACTTCAAACCAGTCATGGAAAAGAGTTGATTTTGGTGCAAATTTTGAAATGACACATGTGGGGTTTTTCAAAAGTTTGGGGCAGATGCCTATTGTGGAAAGACAATACATAACTTTGAAATATTTTGCATCAAAATAAACTTTTAATTCTATTTTCCACAGACTTTTTAAAGGACCATCACGTTTTCTGCCATCCAGCATAGGTCGTGGTGTTTGTTGTCTTTCTTGGAGTCCTTGGGCGTCTTGTAATTTCCCCGTGATCTTGTCTTTGGCCTTTGAGTTGTTAGCAACCTTGGCCTGAAATATCTCCGGCGGGAGTTTAGACCTTAGATGGCACTGGGAAGGCCTGGGGCTGAGCCTCAGAGAGGGTGCTTCCAGGAATAGAACCCAGTGTCGCTGCTCACTCACTCCCCCGCCCAGGTAGCCTTGGCTCCTGGGTATTTTGCACTAGAATGGGAAGAGGCTGCCAGTGGCCCTGCATTTGCTCTGGGCAGTTCCTATGCCAGTGGGGACTTGGACACCAGTTGGCTCTCTCACTGTGCCACACTGGGCCTGCTGCTCTACTGCACCACAGCAACCTAGCATGGGTCCAGGGACTCACGTCTGTGGGCAGGATCACCCAAAATTCCCAGGGGTGCCTGGAGAGCTGCAGCCCAGGCTCCTTGGGCCCCCTGGAGCTCCCGCCCAGCTCTCCCCATCTTAACACTATTGCATCCCTCTAGGATCCAGCCACCTTCTTGTTCTCAAGGGGTTCTTGCACTTTTGGTGTTGGTTGCTAATGGCGGTTTCTAAGAGCTGTGGCTCTCTGTGTGCTCTCTGACATCTCTGGCCTTGGGAGCACAGGGCAGGCTGGAAGCTGGGACTGGCTGTGCCACTATGTCCAGGATCACAAAGCCTTGTCATCACATACTGTGCCAGCCTCGTTACCCTCTTGCTGAGACCGTCTGTTTTTCCACCACTGAGGACGTGGACCATTAGAAGAACCTCAGTGTTACAATAAAATTATTTGCCTGGAATGCCACTTGATCACATCTGCAGGAAGACTGTGGTCTCTTCCTGGGAGGCTCCCGTGTCAGGACTCAGGCCCTGGCGGGGCAGTGGGCATGGATTCAGGCCCCGCCACTTCAGCCCCTGTGTCTTGCAAAATCAGCGAGACAGCTGCTCCCCCTGCTGGCAGATCTCTGAAGTTAGAATCAGGTGCTTGCAACCAAAATACCACTCAAGTCTTGTTCCTGAAATAAACTGGTAGAGACATTCCAGAGCTGCATCCAAGCACCTCGGTGGCGATAGAGGGTAGGAAGTGAGGGAGCCGCCTCCTCTGAGCGGCTGTCTTTCCACCACATTATGCTTGCTCTAAAGTAGCGTCAGTCTTAGTAGGTACCAAGAACAGTGATCCCTTTGTCCAGGGGATTGGTCTGTTATTCTCTTCCCGACTTGCCAGCCTTTTTTCCTGTTTGCCATGTTGATTTGCAAGTGCTCAGCCCTGCGCCCCAAGTCCTTTCAGGAAGCTGGTTTTCTTTACTCCTCGCCTTAAAGATTTTGCTTATGACCTGTGTTGACTTTGGCAGGTTCGATACTGAAGAGGAGGCCATAGCCATCGCCAATGCCACTGATGTGGGGTTAGCAGGTGCGTGCCCGTCCTCACTCAACGACACTCGTAATTACGTTCTTCAGCTCGGGCCAGACGCTGCCCTGGGTTCCCAGAAACCCCAGCGGAGTGTGTTTTGCTGCTCTCCAAGTGGCAGAGGTGGTTTTGTGCAAGTGTGTATCCTTTAGGCTCATCCCCTGTGACACACATTCTGGTTAGAGCTGGGCGTGGGTGCAGTGTGGGGAAGAGAGAGCACAGATTGTCCTCGGTGGAGGATCACAACCACTGCCTCAGGCCCGTGTTCTCAGAGGCTCAATGCCCAGACATCCCAAGTGCTTTCTCTTCCATCGTGACTGATCAGGGGCAGGAGGAAGCCCTGGAGCAAGGGCAGAGCATGCCAGGCCAACGGAGCTGTGGAGACAGTGAGTGCCAGGGAGGCCTCCCCCGGTGGCTGCCTCTCCTCCAGCTTGGTGATGGTCAAGGTGGCCAGAGGACATGCCCTCTAGCCCTGGGAAAACCATGTATTAGCACCCAGAGGGAGTGAAACACTGCAGAAGATATGGAGACATCCACGGTCAGCTACGGCTCTACAGAAGTCACCTTCCAGATGTAAGGGAGCTGTTGATTGCAAGAGGACAGGCACGCGTGGCATGGGGTCCCTTACCCCGTGTGGCACGCTCCATGACAGTAAGGCTGGGCTTGCACAGGGCTTCCACAACATCAAGTTGGGAGCTTCTTTCTTCTCTTCTCCATGGCCCGAGGAAGCCATACCCTGAACTGGGTTATAAATGGTGGGCAGGATTTTTTTTTAAAGACTTACTTATTTGGGGGGCCGGCACTGTGGCATAGTAGGCTAAGCCTCTGCCTGCAGCGCTGGCATCCCATATGGGCACTAGTTCATGTCCTGCCTGCTTCTCTTCCAATCCAGCTCTCTGTTTATGGCCTGGGAAAGCAGTGGAGGTCTCCCATGTGGGTGACAGGGTCCCAAGCACTCGGGCCATCTTCCACTGCTTTCCCAGGCACATTAGCAGGGAGCTGGTTCAGAAGTGGAGCAGCCGGGACTCGAACCGGCACAGTGGGCAAGATTCTGTGTTGGCAGAAGGGACTGGGGGTGGTCAGAGGAGAGTGAGGAGAATCTGGGCGACTTTGGAGAAGGTGGCTGGTGACTGAAGCACTAGAAGGCAAAGCTGAAAATACTGATCAAAACCATGTTAGGGTTTGAATGCCCACTATGGAATTTTGCTTCATTTTGTAGTCAGGAGCCATTGAAAGGCTTGGGCAGAAAAGTCGTGGGGAAGTCTGACCACAGCCTGCAGGTGGATCAGAGAGTGGGACGCAGAAGCCGGGGAGGCCATATGACCATCCTGATGAGGGACAGTGAGTGCTGGCCAAGGATGACCTGGCCGTTATCGAGATAGATAGGCGTGGGCAGGACCAAGGACAGCAGCTTGCGTGGGAGCCGGGAGGACTCCAGGCCCTGGGTGACCAAGGAGTTGCCTGCAGCACCCTCAGCTGTGGCCGCGAGGTCTTCATGCAACGCGTACCCTACGCGCCCTCTTCTCCCCACACAGGTTATTTCTACTCTCAAGACCCAGCGCAGATCTGGAGAGTGGCCGAGCAGCTGGAGGTGGGCATGGTCGGCGTCAACGAAGGCCTCATTTCCTCCGTGGAGTGCCCTTTCGGGGGGGTGAAGCAGTCTGGCCTCGGCCGGGAGGGCTCCAAGTACGGCATTGACGAGTACCTGGAGGTCAAGTACGTGTGTCACGGAGGCTTGTAGGAGTCCTCGGTCCCCTGGAAAATAAAGAGGGAGGCTTGCCCACACGAACGGGGAGCTGCCACCTGTTTTGTGAAACCGTAGGTTCTCGGAATGATGACTTTTTTAGAACTCATCCAGTCCCTGTAATCTGAAGCAGATGCAGATCCTACCCCTGCGCTTTCCCAACAAGGGGCCGACGTGCGCAGCGTGCCCACGGCTGGGCTCTCCAGGATGGCCAGCACAGGGTTCCTAGAAAGACGCCCTGGGCCCGTGGCACCACCCCATCCATCTCTAGAGCAAGGGTTGGCCCCACACGTGGGCCCTGGGGCTTTGAGAGACTCCCCAGGCACGGCTGAGGGCTGGGGCGGGGGCACGGCCAGCTCACCACTAAGGCTAGGCAGGGTGTATGCAGAGGTGTCTCTGCAGGGGCTAAGTCAGGCTTTTGTTTAGCCACTTCTGAAAGAGCACAGAGCTGCTGTGGGGAGTGAAGCGGTGCCTCGCCCGGTTTCTGGACCACTCTTCCGTTTGAAGTCTTCATCATCCTTAAGTGTCTGCTTTGGAGTTCATTGAGGGCCTGAGCGTAATCGTAGAGAGCAGAGGCTAGCAGAAGTAGCCTGGTAGTAAGGCAGGCGCAGGGGGACCCTGCCTGGCCCCTTCCCTGGGCAGCCCTGTCACTGTGGTCGCGCCACTCAGCACCTCCCACCCCATGTGGGCGGTGACCATCCTCCGTAGGCCTTACTCAGCCTCAGGGCTGCTGGCAGCCTGGGAGAAAGTGCAAGTATTCTTCAAAAAGATGGAGATCCTGTGTCGGGACGGGAGCCATCGTTGCTATGAGCCGTGCCACCCAGATGCCCTGCACACGTCAGCAGGGGCCTTGCCGCCGAGGGAAGCCAGGCCCACCTGCCCGCTGGCTGTATGTGGCCTGCTGTGCACTGGGGGTGGAGCTGCCCCTTCACCTGTGCTCACCACAGCAGCCCCAAAAGGAAAGGATTTCCATAATTGCCAGTCCACCCTGCGGAAGGGGCATGGAGCCTTGCATTTCAGGCAGCGTTAATCTAAAATTTGTGGACAGTTCAGCAAGCAAACAACACACAAGACACAAAAACCCCATGACCAGCGTTGGCTCTTACTCTTAAAGAAAACCTCCAAGAAAGTCCGAGGCTCCTCCAGACACGTCACCCATGCTCACGGGGATAAAGGCCGATCCTGGCCACAGGGGCACAGAGGAAGCTCCCTCCTCTTCCCCAGTCTCAGTGTGTAGACCCCACTCTCATTCCGTGGATGTGCCACGTAGCGGGTGAAAGTAGTGCTGGTGGCCGGCGCCGCGGCTCACTAGGCTAATCCTCCGCCTTATGGCGCCGGCACACCAGGTTCTAGTCCTGGTCGGGGCGCCAGATTCTGTCTCGGTTGCCCCTCTTCCAGGCCAGCCCTCTGCTGTGGCCAGGGAGTGCAGTGGAGGATGGCCCAGGTGCTTGGGCCCTGCACCCCATGGGAGACCAGGAGAAGCACCTGGCTCCTGGCTCCTGCCATCGGATAAGCGCGGTGCGCCGGCCGCAGCGCGCCGGCGGCGGCGGCCATTGGAGGGTGAACTAACGGCAGAGGAAGACCTTTCTCTCTGTCTCTCTCTCTCACTGTCCACTCTGCCTGTCAAAAAAAAAAGAAAGAAAGAAAAAGAAAAAAAAAAGAAAGTAGTGCTGGCTACAATCACCCCTGAGCCCCACACAGCGCTGAGCAGCCCTCCATGAGCCACTGGGGAGCTGGCCGAGTAGCCGACGGCACACAGGGGCACCTCCAGGCTGGCGCTGGCTTCCCTGGGGCCTGGCTTACACCAGCTGATCACCAAGGTCAAGGGAGAGGGGAGCAGACACCTGCCTGCTGGTGACACCGCCCAGCACTGGCAGAGGTCCCATCCCTGCCATGATGACACTCAATTTCTATTCTACTGGTGTCATCCTTGGGTGGCTTTTAATCTAAGTACTTGAAATCTGGGTGTGTCCGTTTTTTTCTATTAAGAATACAGAATTTCAGGCATTAGTTTTTAAAGTCAGACAGCCATGCTAAGCTGTGTAGAAGATATTTTTCAAACATATTTTTTGACTTTGGAACAGAGTCCTTACTTTGGTGACCAATTTTAAGTTTTCCTGCATATTTTGTTTTCTAGATAAATTTAGGGCCAGAGGCTCAAGGCCATAGCCTTGATCAATTCTGTAATTAAAACTTGGAAAGGAAACAGCTTATTGTTTAATAAAATGTTCCCCGGTGGTGGGAAGACAGAGAAGTGTTTTTAAGTTGAACTTTTTTGGTTATTTTTCAATAAGGTAACCATTTGTGTTAGATGGGATTTACATACACACACACACACACACACACAAAATGGAAAAGGATCATGAGACCATGGTTTGACAACTACATCACACACACAGGCCAGGTCTGACCTGCACCTGGTGTTGTCCAACACGATAGCTATGAACTGTGCTATTTTCAAATGGTTAGAAAAAGAACAAGACAGTGCTTTATGATACATGAGAATTCTATGAAATTCAGATTCCAGGCTCCATAAGTAAAACGGTATTGGAATACAGCCACACCCTGGGTCACACCAGCTGACCACCAAGGTCAAAGGCAGAAATCCAGCACTAGTGACACTGCCCTTGGGTGACTGTCAGTCCAGGGAGGTGGATTCGGGAGTGTCCATCTTCTCACATGACACTGCTTGGCAGAGTTGGACAAGAGCAGCAGTGTGGCCTGCAAAGCCTAAAATATTTACTGTTTGGCTCCTTAAAGGCAAAGTTTGCCAGCCTCCGGTCTAGACCAGGAGGGAGAGAGCAACCTGTCCACGACTGCTGGGCAGTGCTTTGTGTCCTGAACACCTGTGTAGCAACAGGGCTACCCCGGGGTCTCAGCAGGAACTGCTCAGCCATCGCCACGCGACTCACATCAAACCACCCAAACAACAAGTCTGTGGGCCTTAAAGAAGCGCTTTTCAAACTGGGTCCCGTCGAGACAGGGCTTATGGAGAGCTGATCTGCATCTGTTTCCCGACCATGTGAGTGTTTTTAAGTAGATTTTACGTGAAGTGCTGTTTCTCTCTGTGTGTCTGCCTTCATGCTTACGGTGAGACTCCGTGAAAACAAAGACGAGAAGCACAATGTAAATTACTGTCAGCCGACACTCTGAACCTGACATTGTGCCACGTGACTTTTCTCTCTGAACGCTGGGTCCTAGTGTTTTACTTACCCAAGTGCGGCTATATTTGGTAGCATTTTACTTGAATAAAATAAATGCTGTGATTGTTTCATGCTATACTTTGGGGGATAAAACTTGGCATAAGTGTAGCAGGAAACGTAGGAACACTTTGCTTTTTTAAGCATGTGCACATGACTTATTTTTCTAGTTTTTGATGGTCGTGTATATCAATGTATCATCAGCAGATCCTATCTATGTGTGTGTCATTAATAAACGATCAATTAACAGAATTTCCTGTTCCTGGGTTAAGGTGTCTGGTTGTGTTGGTTTTTCTTATCAGGTTGTCGCGTGAGTTTTTATAGCATTGCATTAGACCAGTTCAGCTGTGTGTAAACAGTGCTTCCTTCCCACAGGGCTGCTTGTCAGTGAGCACCATGGGCTGGGAGCCAGGAAGTTCTGTGCCCCATGGTTCCCACTCAGCAGATGTTTGCTGAACTGAACCAAGAATTCTCTGGAACACAACAGCGGCGCATAATTAAGGAATGTGCTCCAGCTGGCTCAACCTTTCTCTTCCCCGCACTCCCCATGGCATGGGTTTTCCCAAGGTTTTTTGTTGTTGTTGTTGACAGGCAGAGTGGACAGTGAGAGAGAGAGACAGAGAGAAAGGTCTTCCTTTGCCGTTCGTTCACCCTCCAATGGCCGCCGAGGCCGGCCCACCGCGCTGATCAGAAGGCAGAAGCCAGGTGCTTCTCCTGGTCTCCCATGGGGTGCAGGGCCCAAGCACTTGGGCCATCCTCCACTGCACTCCTGGGCCACAGCAGAGGGCTGGCCTGGAAGAGGGGCAACCAGGACAGAATCCGGTGCCCCGACCGGGACTAGAACCTGGTGTGCCGGCGCCGTAAGGCGGAGGATTAGCCTATTGAGCCGCGGCGCCGGCCTCCAACGCTTTTTTTAAACACAGACGAGTTTGAAGAAGCTTTTTGAAACCCTGATATGCAGATATAATCAATATGTACGAGAGCTCTTCAAACTGTTCATGGAAATTGCACATTAACTTTTCTTGGGTTTTATTTCAAGGAGAAGGGAGGGGGGAGCAGAGAGGGGAGATGGGGGAGAGGCGAGAGAGCCCAGGATTCAATCCAGATCTCTCAGGTGGGTAGCAGGGCCCCAATCACTGCTGCCATCACCTGCTGCTTCCCAGAGTGTGCATTAGCAGGCCGCTGGGACTGGAAGCAGAGCCAGGGCTTGGACCTGAGCGCTCGCATTTGGGACGCGGGCATCCCCACTGTACCACAATGCCCGCACCACACGTTAGCTTGCTTGCTTTATTTTTTAAGGCTTATTTACTTGACAGGCAGAGAGAGAGAAAGAATCTTCCATCCACTGGTGCACTCTCTAGATGGCTGGAGCTATGCCAACCAGGAGCCAAGTGCTTCTTCCCACACGGTGGAGGCGCCCAAGCACGTGGGCCGTCTTCTACTGCGTTCCCAGGCCACAGCAGAGAGCTGGTTCAGAAGTGGAGCAGCAGGGACTCGAACCAGTGCCCACATGGGATGCTGGCGCTGCAGGCAGCGGCTTTACCCACTACACCACAGCGTCACCCCCCCCCCCCCACACACACACACACACTAACTTTCAATTCCTTTTGTCCACAAACTTTGCAAGGTACACTTGTATAATTTTAGTAATTGTCTTAGCTCATTTTTTGTTGCCAATATAACAATGCCACAGACCAGGAGGTTATAAAAAAAAAAAAAGAGGTTCATGTTGGCCCACGGTTCTGGTCCAAGGTGAAGAGGCTGAATCTCGCTGGCATCTCCATGCAGCACAGGACATCACAGGCTTGTGGGAGACAATCGGCTTTCACCACGCAGGTGCTCGGGGTAACTCATTAACCCACCGATCCGATCGCCAGGGCAGAGTCCTGATCGTCTCTTAAGGGTCGCACCTGGTCCCACCCCTTAGTCTCTCAGAGAGGGGTTAAATTTCAAGTCAAGTTTGGGAAGACAGATCGAAGTCAAGACGCAGCCACCATAGAGCTCCTGTTTTCGTCTAGTGTTCTTGTCTTTTAAGACCTGTCGTATGGCCTGATGGAGCCCGCCTGTACCAACAGACCCTGCACAGGGCAAGGCTCCTGCTGGGGAGTGGTGGCAACGCACAGCTCCTTTTGCTACTCGTTTATTTCATGCATGTCTTTGAGCCCGTTTTTTGATTTTTTTAAATGACTTTGTTACCAGGAGAAACTAGCTACTTACCTCTCAGTTTGTGGGATTTCACAGACTTGGCGGGGGGGGGGGGTGTCTTCTTAGAACAAAATGCACTGTCATCTTTTCTCTAGTTATCAGGACGTCCTCACCTGTTACAGCTGCTGCTCCCTACTGACGGAGCTGACATGAAATTAAAGAGAAAATCCATGTGTTTTTCCTTGGTTAAGGCCGGGAAGCTTGCTTGGTCTCAGAGTGTTGATTGGCCACAGGCATAGCCTATTTGCCTGTAATGTTTAGAAATGAAGGGAAACAGGCTTGGAGTTGGGTCACCTTTCTGATCAATTGAAACTCAGAAAATGCAAAAGGTCTTTATTTGGGGTCTCAGGAATTACAGTCCGGAGGCACAGGTGCACCTAGCTCTGAATTGAGGAAGGCAGGGAGGGCGGAGTTGAAAGCAGTGCAGGTGCCTGTGGAGGGAATGTTTGCGGAAACATAGAACAGGGGCTCCGAGACAAGACAGGAGATAAGGAAAGAATGCATAAGCCAAACAGACGTCCATAAAAACAAGAGTCGCACAACCGTCTTGAGGCTCTGGGCACGATGCCCTTGTCCGGGCGACCCAAGCCCACACTCCGAGCAGCAGCTGGGAACAGGCGGAAGTCCTGCCTCCTGCGTGGCCTCCCAACTCCAATTTGAAAAGCTCTCTCAATGTCCCTGCCACCATGCTTTCCTTTGACCTTCGGCCTGCAGGTTTTCCTGTAACCCACCCTGTCTGTCACGGTCTGTCAGCTGTGGAAGGAGTAGCCTGCTACCTAACCTGCAGAGCACATCCCCCCCGTGGCTCGGCGGACGTGTGCTCTCCTCCTGCTGGGATGGTACTCAGTCCTGCAAAGCAGGGGACAGGGACAGGGACAGGGACAGGGACTGGGCTCACACACATGCAGGCTTCACATGCACTCCGCTCACCACGCAAGGCCCTGTGCACCAGTTACTTGAAAAAATGCTGGCTTTGCGGGTTTTTTTCCCGGGTTAGTCCTGATTTTAATAGAAATGCTCTTAGTATTTCACTTTTACTAATGAATATGGCTTTTCTCCCTTCAACACCTTTTTAGCTTTTATTTTGAAATGATTATAAACTCATAGGAAGTTGCAAAAATAAGAGTCTTGTATATCCTTCACTCAGCTACCCCCAGTGGCTAACATACATAATTAACACAATGGCAAAAATAGGCAGTAGACCTTAATACACATTTGGTAGCAACTGCACTTGGAGTTGTGTGCATTTGCCTCCTTCTCGGGTAAGTCCTGTGGGGTTTGATCCTCCCTGGGGGTGCCGGGCATGGCAGCGATCACAGCTCCCCCCGTCCATCCCTGGGGCCATGAGGGGAAACCCCGCTGCTCTGCGATGCACCAAGTGGCTGAGCTGCGATGTGTGGGAAGTCAGGGGCATCCCAGGCATGTTCCACTTAGGACAGGCTTAGGCACGCAACCCTTCCCAAGTTAGGGAGCAGCTGCACTGTTACTGCAGACCTCGTCTGATCTCCCCAGTTTCCATGTGTCTACCCAGCAGGTAGATTTGTGCAGCACCACCACAGTCAAGATACAGAACTGGGGCCGGTGCTGTGGCATAGCAGGTAAATCCACCGCCTGCAGTGCTGGCATCCCATATGGGCACTGGTTCAAGTCCCAGCTGCTCCACTTCTGATCCAGCTCTCTGCTATGGCCTGGGAAAGCAGTGGAAGATGGCCTAAGTGCTTGGGCCCCTGCACCCACATGGGAGACCTGGAAGAAGCTCCTGGCTTCAGATCGGCGCAGCCCTGGCTGTTTCAACCATTTGGGGAGTGAACCAGTGGACGGAAGATATTCTCGTTCTCTCTCTCTCTCTCTCTCTCTCTCTCTCTCTCTCCCCTTCTCTCTCTGTAACTCTCCCCTTCAAATAAATAAATTTTTAAATTATAAAAAAAAAGAAAGGTATAGAACTGTTTCATCCCCCCATGGAAATCCCCCCTGCTACCTCTTTACAGTCAGCTTTGAAAAGAAAGTCACTTGGAAAAATTTTCTTTTGCTCATCTTCTTTAAGAAACTTGTCTGCATCCCTGAGTGAGTTCATGGACGCTGCACACACCGGTAAGCAGGACGGGGCCCTGCAGCCCTGCACATGCCCTGCGGGACGACTGCAGAGGCCACGGGGCTCTCGGGAGGACCCCGCACCAGGGAGCGGCTCCACGTCCCTCCAGGATCCCCAGTGAGAGCCTTAGCCCCAGTCCTGGCCTCACTCAGAGCCAACTCAGTGTCCTTGTCTGCCAAGGCTGCCTGACACCATACTGCAGCCTGAGGGGTTTGACCCACAGGAAGTCCTCTTCCTCCCAGGTCTGGCGGCTGGAAGTTTGAGAACCAGCGGGGCTGCTTTCCGCCGAGGCCTCTCCTCGGCTTGTAGATGCTGTCTTCTCCCGCGTCCTCACCTGGCCGTCCCTCTGTGTCCTCATGTCCTGTATCACCACCGGTCTGATGGCTTAGGGCCCGTCCTCGTGGCCGTACTGAGCCCCATCAGCTCACGGCACAGCACGTTCTGCGGTCCGGGGTGAGGGCTAAGGAAACAGCTTAGCTCATTACACCAAGGAAGCTTTTCCTAAAAAATAGTTTCAGTAATGGACATCATCCTCACTCAGGGATCAAGATTTGGGGCATGCTTTGGGTCTTCAGGAAACTAAGGGAGCTCCACAGGACTGACAAGGAACTAGCAGCCACTTAGCTCATTCGCCACCGAGAGCCCACGCCCCCTCCAGCTTCTTAGCTACAGCAAGGGCCCACCCCACCAAAGCTGCTGATGGATAGCACATGACAGCCTGCAAAGGGGCAGCTTCTTGGTTAAGGGGGCAAAGCTCCAACAGCGGTCATATGCGGAACAACTCCATTTATAATAAACTCTGGGAAATTCAAGCTAATCCTAGTGCTCACCTGGGGGGAAAGAGACAAGATGTGTCATGAGGAAAGGTTTGGGGGTGACATTTTTTTTAGATTAATTTATTTGAAAGGCAGAGTTACAAAGAGGCATAGGCAGAAGCAGCAAGAGAGGTCTTCCATCCGCTGGTTCATTCCCCAGGTGGCTACAATGGCTGGAGCTGTGCCAATACAAAGCCAGGAGCTTCTTCCGGGTCTCCTACACAGGTGCAGGGGCCCAAGGACTCGGGCCATCCTCTTCCCAGGCCGTAGCAGAGAGCTGGATCAGAAGTAGAGCAGCCGGGTCTCGAACTGGTGCCCACATGGGATGCTGGCACTGCAGATGGCAGCTTTACCCTCTTCACCACAGCGCCGGCCTCGACATCTGTTTTTTATCTTGACTGTGGTGATGGTTCCACAGGTGAGTGCACACATCAAAACTCTTCATATCAGGGGCCGTAGGCTCAGCTGCCGCCTGTGTTGCTGGCATCCTGTTGGAGTCCTGGCTGCTCTATTTGCAATTCATCTCCCTGCTAATGCACCTGGGAAAGTAGCAGAAAAAGGCCCAAGTGCTTGGGCCCCTACCACCCATATGGGAGACCCAGATGGAGTTTCAGGCTCCTGGCTTCAGCCTGGCTCAGCCCAAGACACTGTGGGCATTTGGGGAGTGAACCAGTGAAAGATCTCTCTCTCCCCTTCTCTCTCTCTAATTCTGTCAAATAAATAAGTCCCTTTTTAAAAAGATTTATTTATTTGTTTGCAAGGTAGAGAGAGAGAGGTCTTCCATCCGCTGGTTCCTCCCCAAATGGCCGGAATTGGGCCAATCCAAAGCCAGCTAGCACTTCCTTCAGGTCTCCCACGTGGATGCAGGGGCCTAAGCACTTGAGCCATCTTCCACTGTTTTCCCAGGAGCATTAGCAGAGAACTGGATCAGAAGTGGCGCGGCCGTAGGCTGGCGCCGCGGCTCATTAGGCTAATCCTCCGCCTAGCGGCGCCGGCACACCGGGTTCTAGTCCCGGTCGGGGCGCCGGATTCTGTCCCGGTTGCCCCTCTTCCAGGCCAGCTCTCTGCTGTGGCCAGGGAGTGCAGTGGAGGATGGCCCAGGTGCTTGGGCCCTGCACCCGCATGGGAGACCAGGAGAAGCACCTGGCTCCTGCCATCGGATCAGCGCGGTGCACCGGCCGCAGCGCGCCAGCCGCGGCGGCCATTGGAGGGTGAACCAACGGCAAAGGAAGACCTTTCTCTCTGTCTCTCTCTCTCACTGTCCACTCTGCCTGTCAAAAAATAAAAAAAAAAAAAAAAAAAAAAAAAAAGAAGTGGCGCGGCCAGGACACGAACTGTCGCCCATATGGGATGCCAGCTCCACAGGCAGCACAGGCAGAGGCATAACCTACTATGCCACAGTGCCGGTCCCCAAATAAATAAGTCTTAAAAAAAAAAGCTTATCAAACCAGACTCCTTAAATACATGTTGTTTATTGTCAGTGAATTATTCCTCTATAAGCATTTTTAAAAAAATGTTGCCTTTATTATTGTTAAAAAGCTAGATTGGGGGATGTAGTTGGAGGTCTGTACACCCTCTTTGAAATCTGGCCCCCACCCCCAGCACCCCCAGGCCTATCCCACAGTCAGGGAGCCACCAACCGCGCAGAGAGGAGACAGGCAGAGCTAGGAGTGTGCAGTTGCTCTCAGGGCACAGGGAGCAGGGGCTGTTACTCCAGCCTTCAGCAACTACTTTTTGATAGGCCAGATGGTAAGCATCTGGGGGCTTTGAAGACAGACCCTGTGCAAACTACTCAACTCAGCGATTACACAGTCCTAAGTAAAGCATACACCAGCAAACATGGATGTGTTCCAATAAAACTTTATTGATAAGCACAAATAGGAGTTTCATTTAGTTCGTGTGTTACAAAATATTTTTTGGACTTTGTTTCAGCCATTTGAAAACATCACACCCATTTGTTGAGCTCTCGGGGTGTGCAAAAACAGGGGCCGGCAGTTGTGTCTGATCCACCCTCAAGGGAAATCCCTCCCCCAGGGGTGGGGAATGTTTGGTCTGTCCCCCACCCCGCCCAACCCCGCCAAGGCAGCCACAAGTGAGGCTTGAAAGTCATTCAATCTGTAGCAGGCTTCTTTTTAAGTCGAGAATTTTGCATGGCCCACGGGTGATGTTATGAGTGTCCAAATGGCCCTTGGCAGAAAAACAGGTTCCCCATCCCTGCACACAGAAGCGTGAAGACAACCCATTTTCCCTGAAATCTCACTACGCATTGCAGAAAGCCCAGACGCCGTTATTTAGGTTAGTACATATATTTCATAGCGTTATATTAGGAATGACATCTTGCGGACACCTGGGGGAAATTATACACTTATGCACCTAAACCCAGACACAAAGCACAGTCCCTGGGGGCCGGGCCGCCCCTGCTCCCTGCCCAAGGGAGCAGCACGGCTGGCACTGGGTCATCCATTGTCTTATCCCATTGCATGTTTTTCAGGAGGTTCTTTAGACATAAACATGCTTAACCCGCGAGCGCTGTGGGTTTGAATCCTCCTTCCTTCCTTGAACCTAAACCAGAGACTGCAAGCACATGTCAACCAGCAAGCCCTGCAAATGCCCGACCGACCCCACATTCTGGGGTCCAGCTCTCTCCAGAGCCAGGGTTCTTTGTGCAGTGGCGGGAGGGGAGGGGAGGTGGCATGCATGGATCCTTCCATTGAAATAAAGTTTGCACCCAGTTCCCAGAGCCACCACTTGCTGGCTGGGACCTGGGGCAAGTTGCTGCACCTCTCCAGGCCTGCAGAGGGCGTTCTGCAACCGGAGAACAGAGACTCTCCTGGTCCTAAGGACGACTTGAGTACGCTCACTGCGTATGTCCGAGTCTTCAAGCAGGGGGTTTCTGCTTTCTCCACCATCAGGCTCATACCCGGGCTGCCACCTGGCGTGCACAAAAGCAACGCAGCCCTGGGCACTAGCAAGGGCAGATTCTGAGATGATGAAGCCAAACACTGGGGTAAAAAGTATCACATTTCCTCCTAGTGCCATAACTAGCATTGAACTGGTTAGCTGTGCACAAGGCGTACGCATAAGCAAAGAAACTGTTTTACAAAAATCACACACATCAACTTTTTACTTCTGCCACTTGCCAGTCAAGTACCATAATGAAAACACAGCACGTGGATGCTGTGGTCAGCACAGAACGCTCGCTGCACAAGGGGTGATGCAGGCCTCCCAAATAACCCCTTTCCATACACACAGCCGTCCGATTGCAGGCTCAACAAGAGAAACCGTGTTTGGAAAGCTCGCCCTAGAGGTACACACAGATACCTAGTGAAAACTCAGCCCTCACCGAGCCCTGGTTCAAAGGGAGTCTTTCCTAAGAAGCCACAGATAGAAACAGGTGTTCATCTGTATTTTGACACGGGCAATAGAATATTGTACCAGCTACAAGACAGGCAGTCTTTTAAGTGCATGAAGCGTTACCCAGTTCTCATTCCTACTGGCAAGCAATCCAGTTAAAGGAGCAGTATTTTGGCTTTGCTTTCTGCCGCCGAGCACACAGGCCCTTTAATTAGCAGAGCGCAGGTCCAGGCCACTGTGGGAGGATGAGGCTGCACTACTCACAGCTTTCGCTGCCAATCGAGGTCCTGGGTTCCAGGGTTCCTGTGCAGGGCCTTCCACTTCCAGCTGCTCCCTTACCTGTCTTTGGAGCAGTACCCGAAGGAGACCCCATTTCTGACAGAGCCGTTCATGGACACTTTGGGGTTCCCCCTCTCCATCCTTTCTCGGCTGAAGATGGTGTCCTGGTCACTGTCAAAGTCAGACTCAGACACCATCAGGCTGGAGCTGTGCTCTGTGCCTCGGTGCTTCATCCCTGCGGAGAGGCAGACAGAACCGTCTTAGGAGAAGTCCCGCCTTCCCTGCCAGCTGTCAATCAGGGCACGGGGCACTGAGGGTGTGGTGTTGAGCTGTGGCACCTTCAAGGCAGTCACCCCAGCACGGCAAGGCGCTGGGCATCCCGTGGGTGAGAAGGGAGGCTCGGGCACCGCACCTGAGCTTCTGTCCCACCTACGACAATCCCCAGCCGTGTGACCCTGGGCACGAAGCCTCCTCTGGCATGTCAGCCTCATCAATGAAGCTGGGAGAGAATGAGACATCTGCCTGCTGTGTTTCTAGTGAGGATTAAACGTGACAGTATGAGCCAAGCTCTGGGTCGAGCACTGGGCCCATCGCGCCAAGAAATGGAAGTGGCTGGGATTTGACTATTCAGTTCAAGCAGCTATTTTTGGTTGAATATCTGATTTCTGGGTGCCAGAAATGAGTGTAAGATTTGATGATGGCTCTCAAAGAACTTGCAGTTGTCTAGCTTGGGGTGTAAGGTGTGGACCAATGAGAAGACGGCCCCTGACAGGTAAGAAAGAAAGAAATGGCTCTTACAGGAATCAGAAGGAGAGAAGAACACGCGTGTTCTGGGCCTGCTCCAGCCGTGCTCCCCACAGGATGGGGTTCGAGGGAAGAGGGGGACATGGACAATAGGACAAGGTGGGGTGGGGGCATGGGGCAAGCAGAGGCGTCCAGGAAATGATGAACCAGAGACCACAGGACAAACACAGCATGGGTGCAGGGGCAACCCTAGACTGGGCATTGTATCTGAGAAGAGGAATCGCACAAAATGTTGCTTTAAGACATGAATAAAACCACAGTGTGCAGGCTGAGAGGTCCCTGCAGAGATCCCAATGCTGCAGCCCTCCCAAGCCCTGCTCTGAACTCTGACCCCGGAGTGAGCGTGCTCAGGGGTGGGGCCTTTTCAGAGGGGTAAAGCCCTTGTACAAGGGCCCCCCAGGAACTGCTGTGCCCCTTCCACCGAGGGAGATGCGATGAGAAGGCGGCCCCAGGAGGAGCTGGCCTCACCACACTGAGTCTGACATCCAGCCGCTAGAACAGGGGAACAAACGTCTGTGGGATTCTGTGACAGCTGCCTAACAGACTAAGCCAAAGGCGGTGCACGCCGAAGGAGGGTGCCCAGGTCCTGATGCGGGAGGCCTGCTCCAGCCACGCTGAGCACACACCGTGCTGTGGCCTGGGCAGCCAGCTAAACTGCTCCGTGCCTCAGTTTCCTTGTCTGTAAAATGGGTACAGTCATAGTACATGCCTCATGGGGTTTTGGATAGAATTAGAATCAAACAGGTACCCAGTCCATGCTAAACATGAAACACCTGCCACCTGCCATCATTCTTCCTGCTGGGACTAGAAGCTCTGAGCTTGGGTGGTGATGACGCCGATGAGGAAGTAGGGTAAGAAACAAGCAAGATGAGGTGGCTAGCAGGGAGCAAGGCGGAGCCCCGGCGCCCCAGGTTTCAACCCTGGGTCATCAGAAGATGGGCTTTCTCTGAGTAGAGAGGGGCAGGGCAGAGGGGGAGTGTATCTGGAGGAGGCAGGTAAGGTCACACAACCTAAAGCACTTTTGATGTGGGCAGGCAGATAGGATTAGATTTGAGAGCTGGCGCTGGAGGCCACGCCCCCTGTGTGATCCCACCTGTATCCATCCCCTGCCAATTAGACTACGTAACCACGCCCCTTTCGGAAGTGAATAAAAGGCGTGGAGTGCCCTGGGCCTGGCCCCTGCTCCCAGGCCTGTGGCCATTTGGCGGCTTCTCCCAGTTCGCTCCCCGTTCACTTGCGCACCGCACGTATTTGTGGCCACTCCAGCCCTTGCGATTTCTCCAGCCTGTGGACTCGCGCACGTGGCCCCGATCTGCCCTCTTCCTGGTCCGAACCCCCTGTTCATCTTTCTGACCGCCCCTCTCCCTTAAATAAGCCCTCACGTCCCTAAAGAAATTCTGAGTTTTACCATGTTGCCTGGCTTGTCCATGTCTAAGTTTAGGATGCTTCTCTACGCTTGGGACACGAACTTGAAATATTAGTCTTGGCTCAGACGGTATCACTGAGCGCTGAGGCGTAAAGTCACGCGACAACACCTCTGCCATTCAACTCCGCGCACAGGTGCCATTTGGATTTCCTGTGAAGCTTTTCCTGCCACAGCCCTGAATTCCATTTTCAGACAGAGTCAGCCATTCCAGCCTCAGTATCCCACAGCACTCCTGCACCCCAGGGTGGCTCCCCTGGGCCGAGAGCACCTGCAAAGGCAGGCAATGGCACTGGGCGTCACTGCTGTCCCATCTCCAGGCCCCCACCTCATCTGTGGCGTGGGGCGGGGGCAGCAGGTGCTCCACGCTGGCCCTGGGCCCATTTTTGCATCTCCCAGCTTTGAGAGCGATCGCACCGCCAATCCTGAGGTGGGTGCGAGCAGACAGCAAGCAGAGGGAGCCGCATTTTTTGTAAAGAAAGCCAATTTCCTGCAAAAAGCACTGGTTACTGTAGCCACTTGGGACAGGCTTGAAGGCACCAGACCTCTGGCTGCATTTCTGGTCCGGGAGACCTCAGGGGAGCAGCTGGGGTGAAACAGCGCCACCTCCTCCAACCAGGAGTGGAACAGAGCCGCCCCCGTCCCTGTGCTCATCTGGCAGGCACACTGTTCCCAACAGGCACTGCAGATGCCTCACCCATCCATGCCGCAGTGCAGCTACCGCCCCCGCTCGCACAGCCCCGGTACTGCAGCCGGCTGCTTCCATCACGTACCCCTTCCCAGGCACAGCGCCACCTGCAGCCGGCATTCTCCAGCTCACCCAAGGTAACAGGGGTGACGCCTCCCTGGAGACGGCCTTACCATATTTGGGCCTCAGCTCCATTCTTTCCTGCTCGTCCATGTTATCCAGGATGGTGTACTTTGTCTTTTTCCTTATTTTTGTCCTTTTCCGTCTGAAAGGAATAATGCAAAGTTCAACTCAAGCTCTCAGAGAGGTGTCTAGGGGCCAGGATTGAAAACACATAGGGCCGGCGCTGCGGCTCACTAGGCTAATCCTCCACCTTGTGGCGCTGGCATTCCAGGTTCTAGTCCCGGTGAAGGCGCCGGGTTCTGTCCCGGTTGCCCCTCTTCCAGGCCAGCTCTCTGCTGTGGCCAGGGAGTGCAGTGGAGGATGGCCCAAGTCCTTGGGCCCTGCACCCCATGGGAGACCAGGAGAAGCACCTGGCTCCTGGCTTCGGATCAGCATGGTGCGCCGGCCTCGGCGGCCATTGGAGGGTGAACCAACGCAAAGGAAGACCTTTTTCTCTGTCTCTCTTTCTCACTGTCCACTCTGCCTGTCCAAAATAAAAAAATAAAAATAAAAATAAACCACACACACACCCAGAAGGCACTAGGGAGAACGTTTTGCTTGTGCTGAGTCATAGTTGGCATCTTTTATTCATGACGCCCCAGAACTCAGTGGCACTTACGCCATCTTACAGAAATGCATCTTGAAGAAACAGGCGGTTTGTGGTGGCCAGTGGCCACCTATTGCCCTCCTAGATAAAGCCCTCACCTGTGTGTGACCCTGGAACCGTCTCCACGGAGCTACTCCTACTCAGGAACACCTAGGTTGGGGCCCAGTAGGTTAAGCCACTGCCGCAGCACCAGCATCCATGTGAGTGCTGGTTCGAGTCCCGGTTTGAGTCCCGGATGCTCCACTTCTGATCCAGCTCCCTGTAATGCGCTGGGGAAAGCAGGGGATCTGGCCAAGGAGTTAGGCTCCTGCACCATGTGGGAAAATTTGTGTGGAAATCCAGGTTTCTGGCTTTGGCATGGCCATTTGGCTGCTGGCAGTCATTTGGGGAGTGAACCAGGGAAAGACGATCTCTCTCTCTCTCTCTTTCCTCTCTCTCTCTCTCTCAAATAAATAAATCTTTCAAAAGAAAAAAGAAAAAGCCTGGATGAGCCAGTTTTCCCCTGGACTGCTCAAAGATCCAAGCATAATAAGATGTCATGAAATAGCACCAGAAGTCATAATTCCCAGAATTCCTTAGCGACAACCCAGTATGGTCTTTTGTTTGTTTGTTTGTTTCCCCACAACACATGAAAACTACATTGGTGCTTTGTCCTGTGCTACAGAGGATGATTTGAAAGCACCCACAAAGGGGCCAGGCGCTGTGGCACAGTAGGTTAATCCTCCACCTGCAGTGCCGGCCTCCCATATGAGCACCAGTTCTAGTCCCAGCTGCTCCTCTGTCCGATCCAGCTCTTCTGGCCTGTGGCCTGGGAAGAGAGAGATGGCCAAGTGCTCGACCCTGTACCGTGAGGGAGAGCAGGAGGCGATTCCTGCTGCTGGCTTCTACCTGGACCAACCCTGGCCATTGAGCCCACTTGGGGAATAACCAGTAAATGGAAGATCTTTCTCTGTCTTCTCCCTCTCACTGTCTGTAATTCTGTCAAATAATAAATAAAATCTTTTAAAAAAGAGTTTAAAAAAAAGGAGGGGCGGTGCTATGGCACAGTGGGGTAAACACCCTGGCCTGAAGCACCGGCATTCCATATGGGCACCGGTTCTAGTCCCGGCTACTCTACTTCTGATCCCAGCTCTCTTCTGTGGCCTGGGAAAGCAGTGGAAGATGGCCCAAGTCCTTGGGCCCCTGCACCCATATGGAAGACCCAGAAGAAGCTCCTGGCTCCTGGCTTCAGATTAGCACAGTTTGTTGCGGCCATCTGGGGAGTGACCAGCAGCTGGAAGACCTCTCTCTCTCTCTTTGCCCCTCCCTCTCTCAGTGTAACTCTGACTTTCAAATAAATAAATAAATCTTTAAAAAAATAATATAACTAAATCTTACAGTTTGTACCAGGATACTTTCTTTTCATAAAATTTTTTTTAAAGTTGTGTTTTATTTACTTGAAAGGCAGAGTGATAGAAAGAGAGAAAGGGAAAGGGAGAGATAGAGAGAGGGAGAGATTTTTCATCCACTGGCTCATTCCCAAATGGTCCCAACAGCTGGGGCTGAGCCAGCTTGAGACAGGCCCCCAAGAACCCCTCCAGGTCTCTTATGTAGTGTGCCCGGGGCCCTTGTACCTGGGCCATCCTCGCTACTTTCCTAGGTGCATTTCAGCAGGGAGCTGGATCAGAGGCAGAGCAACCAGGACCGAACCGGCACTCCAACGTGGCTACTCCAGCGTTCCAAGAAGCAGTGTAGCTGCTTCTAGCACCCCACTCCTCTAAGGGACCCTGCAAGGCCATTCAGGTCCGTTCTGGTGAACACGTGTGACCTTGCCTGGAGAATAACACCAGCTTTGATACAGACCCATGGAACCTCACTGGAAAGCTAAGAACGCTCCAATGGAAAAGCTTGCCTGCAGTATCGTTCCCGTTTCTCTGGGCACGTTTGCCTTGCGGTCGGAAGTGCATTAAAAAGCAACTATTAAGTCTAGTTTTGTTGTCATAAAAAGGTGATAGCCTAGTGGCTTGAACAAACCCCAGCAAACACTTTGATGTCACAGGAAGAAATAAGCGAGCACAACAGTACCTCTTGCAGCAGCAGATGCAAACCCGCGTTAAGCCTCCCGCCATCACGGTGAGCAGCAAGCCAGCGCTGTCACATAGAATACACTCCACTCTGAAAGACAGAACACCACAGTGACCACTGACTCGCTATTTGCAAAACCACTTTATTCTGATGGTTCTCAATGAGTACTCGAGCTCTTAGAAGCAAAGGCCATCCGTGATGCTGGTAGCACCCGTTCCAGGCCGTGCAGAACAGAACTCAAGAAACTGCCATTTTCCTGCACATTTGGCCCAGGCACCTCATGGCACACACGTGCATGCAGACTTCAGAACAGAACTGAAATAGCCTGAACCACCAGGGAGTAATGCCTCAGACACGCGCATGAATGGTGCAGCAAAATGTATTCCAGAATCCCCACGACTCACAACCCTAACAGCCAACAGGGTTCTGGCCTGGTTTAGATTAAAGCTAACAAGTGACCGCATGGCTGCCATGGCCTGAAGACACTCTCAGAGCCGGGGAGCCGTTGGGAAACTGCCTGCTCTTTGTTCCTTCCGCTTCCTTGCAAATAGCAGTGGGAACAGCTTCACACCCAGAGTGCAGGTGCAGAGAACCCAGGCCCGAACGCCAGGCTTCCCTCTGCCTGTGTTCTGGTCGGCTCCAGGAATCAGGATCCAGAGCTGGCTGATTTCAAATTTTGTGTCGTATTACATGGGACTACGTCAGTTGGCTCTTACAATGGTGTCTCTGCCGGGCACATCTATCTGCATCCCCTCGGGCACAAATCTCCCCTTAGAGGAGCCTGCGCCCAAGTTCAGCCCAAACCAGACCTCAGGCAGCACCTGGCCTGCTGGGGCTGTGACACCCATTCCTGGCCTGCCTGCTTGCAGACAGCCTGGAAGAGGGGCCAGATTCTCTTCTTCCTCTGCTCGCAGCAGGTCCACACCAGCCAGCACCTTCGCCCAGGGTCAGGTTGATCCTAGCAAAACAGCGCTTTCTCAGAAAAGCTAGCAAGGGGAACTGGATCCATGCTGCTAGAGTGAATTTCCTTGGGGGGAATTTGTATGTTAAAGCCTGCTGGGGTGGGGGAATGGTCCAGTCCGCGGCTGCATTAAGGCCCACCGACTCGCTTGGTCTGGCCCTGCCAAGGCAACTGTGGGCAGGATTCGATTTCAACCAATCGACAGCACACTAATTTTTAGGTCGATCATTTTGTACGGCCCGTGAATGATTCTAAATATCCAAACGCCCTTGGCAGAAAAGGTCTCCCCACTCTGGCCCTAGACAGACCTCCGCAAGGGGGACCATGGGAGATCTTGGCTCGTGCCCAAGTGAGCAGCTCACCTGGCTTCAGGTAAGGAAAGTGGGTGATACCTGGCAGCTGCCAAGCTATGTAGGAGCCTCTGCCCCCGCCCATCACTCACCACATTGCTCTCGCCGCCCCGGAAGTAACTGGATGAGGTTCTCCATCCACAGCTGGGAGCAGATGCAGCGCTTTGTGATGGGGTCGCAGTGGCCGTGCCATAACACTTGAGGAGGCACCCTGCAAAGAGGGCATGGGTGCCGGTTACCACGAGGAAGGGCAGGGGCCCTGTGCCTGCTGCCCGTGTCTCAACAGCATCCGCCTGCACCGATGCATCTTACTGAGTTCAGAGCCTTTTAAAGTGTGCCCGAGGTGGGGATACCGTCCTCACGGACGATCTCACCAGGAAGCAAACGGAGAAAAAGCAATCCACACCACAGAGCAGCCTTGACTTGTAGCAAAGACACAGCTCCCTTGACCTCAGAAAATAATTCTAGGAATGCATCCAATTGAGGACATGCACAGAAATTTCTACATAGCAGCATTATTTAAATTAAGTTCCTGACTAGGGGATTCCATAATTATGGGAACATGTTCAAGGTGGAGTACATGCAGCCAACAACATCTCACTGAAGAAAAATGGAAAGGATTTGAGAAAATAATTAATAGGGTTTGAAGTAGAAAACACATGCAAAATACACATCAAATCCTGATACATCATTGTGTTTAGAGATGGGAACTCAAGAGATAGATCAGAACATGAAGGTGCTTCGAAAAATTCATGGAATAGAACGCCATTGAAAGATGGTTTATTTGGTGCAAATGACTTTCCATCCAGCATAGTTTTCTAATCATAAATGGTCTCCATGAACTTTTTAAATTCCGTTATGGATTTCAAATTACTTTTTGCATCAAAATTCTTTTTAATTTCATTTTCATTAACTTTTTGTAGTACCCTTGCCTTGTAAAGTTATCTTTGGATACCAGGAATCCTAGACTGTAGAGGATTTTTTTTACTACCCTTTCTGGTTTCCAAATGTCTTACAAATAAATATTATTCCTTTAGGTAGAAAACAAATGAGTTATTAAATTAAGTTACTCTATATAATAACGGAGAAAGCTGTGTGCAGGTAGCAGATACCTGAAATAAATTAAATTTTACTGACCAAACCTCATTAT